TGGTGGAGCGCGGGCCATCTTAGGGATGGGCTCGTACTCGTCGAGGTCCCAGAATCGCTTGGCGCCTTCACGCGCCGCTTGCCCAGCTTGATCTCGGGATTCCGCGCCAGGTTCTCGAACTCTTCGCTCAGGTCGGGCTTCGCGTCCTCGTCGTCTTCATCGTCTTCGTCATCATCGTCGTTATCGCCTTCCTTGTCCTCCTGCTCGATCTGCTTGTGCTTCTTGTCCTCCCTCTTCTTCTGCCTCCTCTCCTTCTTCACGATCGCCCCCTCGTCCCCGTTCTCTTCTTCCTCGTCGTCGTCGTCGCCAAGGCTCTTCTTTTCTCGGCCACGGCTACTCCGCCGGGGCGCAGCCTGCTTCCTCTTCTTTGTCGCCGGTTTCTTCTTCTTCGTCGTCGTCGTCTCGCCCACTTCCTCATCTTCGTCCTCGTCCTCGCCGCCGCCGCCGCCGTAGTCGTCATCCCCGCCATCATCGTCATCGTCTCCTTCATCCTCGTCCTCTTTTCCCTCTCCCTCTCCCGCTTCTTCTTCTTCTTCGTTGCCGTCATCGTCCTCCTCCTTCTTCGTCCGCTTCCTCTTCTGAGACTGTTGCGGCGCGGCCTGCTTGCGTTTTCGCTTTTCCGTGGCCGCCGGCTTCGTCTCTTCCTCCTCGGCCGCCGCTGCTTCCGGCTTCTCCTCCTTTTCCTTCGTCTCTTCCTCTTCCATCTTGTCCTCCTCCTTCGTTTCGCTTTCCTCCTTCGTCGCGTCGCGCTTGCGGACGTCCGCAGTCGCCTCCACCTGGTCCCGCTTCTCCGCCTCCCCCGCGCCTCCCTCCTTTTCCTCCTCCGCCTCCGCCATCGGCGTTTCTGTCGCCTCCTCCTCCTCCTTTGTCTCCTCCTCCTCCTTCGCTCCTTCTTTCTGCGCGTCGTGTCCCTCAGCGGTGTCCATCGCACTCGCCACTGCCTGATCGTCCTCGTCCGGCTTGCCAGCGGCAGACTCCTTTGCCACCGGCGAGACTGCGGCCTCCTCCTTCTCCTTCTCCTCCTCCTTGGCCGCCGCTTCCCCGGCCGTGCCGCCGTTCAGGCCCGCCGTGTGTTCGCTGCTCTCCTTCGTCACTTCCGCCCGGGCTCCCTCTTCCGCTGGCACCGCCACAGCCCCTTTGCCTTGGGCCACGTCACCAACGGCTCCCTCGGCGCCGGCGCCGGCGGCAGGTTCATAGGGAGTGTCGTCGCGGCTCGCCACTGGTTCGGTAACTGCACCCGCCGAGGGCGGTGCGACGTCGGCCGCAGTCGGCTCGGCGGGCTCTGCAGCGGCTGGAGTGACAGCGCCCGCACTGGGCGATTCGGTTGCGGGGGGCGAGGTGGTGTCTGGCTTCCCGA